TACATCGCGTAAAGTGATGTATCCTAGAGTAGGAGAGAGTAGGGATTTTTGTAATTTTTTCAAATTTTAGAAAACATGATAAAATAAGCTGTGTATTTAGAGCCTGTTTGGATGGGCTTTTAAGCTGGTCAAACTGGCTTAAAAGCCAGTTTTTGACTTATTAGAGTGTTTGGCAATTATCAAAGTGACTTATTTTAAGTCAAAATGACTTATTTTAAGCCAAAAGCTAGGTAGGGGGAGCTTCTTTTTTTTTTAACTTAAAAGCCCTTTTATGTTGACCAAGTATATTATTTTTTGCCCTTAATTCTTTTATACAATTTCCAAATTGCCCATATTGAATTATTATTATTATTATTATTATATATATATTATTATTATTATTATTTTTTTTTTTTTATTCTTATTGTTATTATTATATTATTATTATTCTTACTATTATTATTATTATTATTATTATTATTATTATTCTTATTATTATTATATTATTCTTATTATTATTATTCTTATTATTATTATGTTATTATTATTATTATATTATTATTATTCTTATTATTATTGTTATTATTCTTATAGTTATTATTATATTATTATTATTATTCTTATTATTATTGTTATTATTCTTATAGTTATTATTATATTATTATTATTATTCTTATTCTTATTATATTATTATTCTTATTATTATTCTTAATATTATTCTTATTATTATTATTATTATGATTGTTATTATTGTTGTTGTTATTATTATTATTATTATTATTATTCCTCTTATAAATAATTTGTGGTGGTAAAGAAATATGTGAATGATAGGAAAGTATTATTACTTATGGATGTAAAATATAAATTTATTTTTAAGTATAAAAACCTTAAATTAATCAACTTTTTATCATGTTAACAACTTAAAGGGTATTTCAGATATTTTGATTAAAAAAAGTGTTTACCAACACTTATTTGCCAAACACATCAACAACTTTTTTTTCAATTGCAACACTTTTATTCAAACACATAACTACTTATTTTTAAAATAAGTTCCAGCACTTTAAAAAGTTACTTTTTAAAAGTTACTTTTTTTAAGTCAAACCAAACGGGCTCTTAGGTAATTTTAATGAGAAATGACATGATTAATATTATTTGAGAGTTTCTCTTTTTTACACCTTTGTGTGTGGACTGGTTACTATGGATTAATTTTACAATTTTATAAGAATGATTTTTTAAGAGGTAAAATAAATTCTTAACTTGATTTCTATTAAAGAAGGTGATTAGTCTTATACTAATCGTTGTCTCTAATTTCTTTGAAATAGGAGTCTAGATCACCTTTGATTTAAGTTCTCTAATTGACTCTATTAGATAATTAGTGTTTTTTTTTATTTCTCACACAAACAAAAAAAGAGATAAAAATGATATATATATTTTAAAATATTTCATTTTTTCTCTCGAAACACAAAATCCTCGAAAAATTGGAATAATCCATATATTTAAATAGTTTAATATATTAGATGATATTATATGGAGCATAGTTAAATATTTAAATAGTAATATACTAGATGGTATTATCGAGTATCATAATTTGGGGGAGTAAATTTTTCTAACCAAAATTACGAGTAAAAGAAATAAGAATTGGGAAATGAAATATGGGCTAAGTGGAAGACAAATGGTGAACAATCAACGCAACCACCTTAAGCTCGTGACTTGAGAAAATTATAATTACACTTCACCTGATATATGTTGAGTGTTTGTCTTCCCCAAAAATATATTAAGTGTTATCATAGAGTTTGTACATATCTCCTTCCAATATTTTATTTTGTTTTTTTCCCTGTTCACTATTTTATACAAATTCAATAATGTGTTGCATGTTATTTTATTTGAAATTAAATAAATGGTTAACCTTGAGTTATAATTAATAAATTTAGTAATGTTTCGTTTAATTAATTTTATTTCTCAATAGGTTTGGATTCTACAAAATATAAACGCATCACCTCACATTAATTACTTTGTATTAAAAAGAGTGAAAGAAAAATCAAATCTTTTTAATAGCTTGTGAGAAATAGGGTTAGTAGGTGTCCTCAAATCTTCACTAATGGTACTTGAGTACACCTACTTACCCTATTTCTTACAAAATATTGAAAAGATATGATTTTTCTTTCACTCTTTTTAATACAAAGTAATAATGTGAGGTGATATTTTTGTATTTTTCAAATTGTTGAAAAATAAAATTAATTCAACGGAACATTAATAAATTTATTAATTGTAACTCAAGGTTAATTATTTATTTAATGTCAAATTAAATGTAACAAATTATTGAATTTGTATAAAACAGTGAAAAAAAATACTAGAAGGGGATATATACGAACTCTATAGTAACACTTAACATATTTTTGGGAAAGACAAACACTCAACATATATTAGGTAGTGTGTAATTATGATTTTCTCGAGTCACGAGCTTAAGGCGACTGTATTGATTGTTTACCATTTGTCTTCCACTTACCCCATATTTCATTTCTTATTTCTTTTACTCGTAATTTTGGTAAGAAAAAGTTACTCCCCCAAATTTTGATACTCAATCATATCATCTAATATATTACTATTTAAATATTAAATTGTACTCAATAATATCATCTAATATATGGATTATTCCAATTTTCGAAGGAGGATTTTGTGTTTCGAGAGAAAAAATGAAATACATTTCTTTTAAAAAAATATCTCTTTTTTGTGTGTGAGAGAAATAGAAGAAAACACTAACTATCCCAAATATAATGGGATTTAAATCCTACTTTTATGGAAATAATATCTAGGAAAATTTAAAATATGGAACTTTTAAATTAGGAAACTTTGGCTTTAAACGTCCATCTCTTTGGGCTCTTTTTTGTGGTTTCATGGCCTAATCTTCTTTCTTTTGAGCTTGAATTTGGATATTTCTTTTGTGATAATTATAGGCAAAATTATGCAGAATACCAAACACTTAGGCTATATTAGGTATATAGCTATAGTTTAAGAAAATTGTAATTCACGGCTATAGTTTTCCCAATTCTTGCTATTCGCCTGATTTCTATAATTCGATGGTATTCTGAAAAATTCTTAATTGTATAAATACATAATTTGTATATACTTACCCTGTTTGTATATTCGCAAGCGATATATACAAACGTGCAGAAATATACAAACGGCAATCTCCATAGTAAACAAAACTATAGCTATGGAGCGCAATTATTGAAACTATACATAAAGAGCCTTATTATGTCTATTATGTTTGCTATTTCTAAAATTTTCTGTATTCTTGATTTTTCATTGAAGCCCGTTATTTTAATGGAGGTATGCTAATGTGGATGCTATCAATATCTTTCTTCTGTTTAGAAATGTTGAAACATCTGCAGTTACATACTAAATAAGTAGAGTTCATATCACATTCTTGTTGAGTGTGCGCTGATTAATCTGTGCATTCATGCAGACAATGAGACAAATAGAAAAACTGCTAGAAAAATCAGTGCTTGGTCTCAGTAGATATACTTTTGTTGTGTGCATGTCCAATTTGTGGGTTGTACGTAGGACTTAAAGTGAAATATGATCCATCTGATGTATACATCAATAGTAATTGTCTAGTTTAAAACAGAAGGATTTTGTTTGTCTAACAGTTTACGTTCTTTGCAAACATAACTCATTTAACTGGTATTTAGAAAACGTAATTAGTTTGATCAAGTAAGGTGACACCCATGACGGAGAGATGGCCGATGAGTGTGGGTCAAGAGAAGGATTGACAACCTTCTAGGCAAACAAACTTCTAAAAAAGTGGTGCACATGATACCTGAATCATACATCAGGTTAAGAGAGGAAAGTGAACTTTATAAGGTGTAACACAAGTTTACATCTCTTTTGTACTCAATTATGGTGTAGCCCAAGGGACAAATCCGTGAGGCTTGTTGTGGCAAAACAGACAATATGTGTCATGGACTTGAGTAATAGATTTATAATAGAAAAGAGATATTTTTCAATCCTGCATTCTGAAAATAGAACATAACTTATGCACGACAATGCTGCGTGTGTTTGCACTATGATAAAGTGCACTCCGACATGTAATTGTCTGTGAAAAGCCTAATTTTGCAACCTAGAAAATAGAAGTAAATAACCTGCTGTAACCAGTAAATACATCTGCAGTATAAAAGAAGCCGTTTTGCTTTTGTATCCATCCTTTTAACACTATTGCCTGTACCAGGTGTTGTGTGCATGTTCCGCAACTTAATGACTCTGTACATCTCTGGCTTCTCTATGTGTTTTCCAGTTTTCGTTTCACTTTACTGTTCCTATTGGTGAGTGAAGATGTTGATGAATTTGGTTTTTCTGTGGACTTGTTTTCTGCAGTTTATGGATGATGATAAAAGATGCCATTTGGAGCTCAACTATTCATTTGAAATCAGCAAGGCTAGGTAGCCAAGGTGTCCCTGCAGCTATTTCTGGCCTTCTTGGAAACTGGATATTCGACTGAATTCGTGTCTTTGGATTGTGCCTTGTTTACTGGATCCAGCACATACATAGCAATAGCTTAGCAAATATGATTTACTTTTACAGTGGATTCTCTTGATGCCTTGTATGAAATTTGGTTGTTTTTCATGTTACTGCAACAAAATCCTTCATTGACATTGCTAAAGCCTTTTTTTCTTATGCATACCAGACCGAATATTATAAATAAACAGTGAATGCACATGTTAAGTTCATTTCATCTCTTTAGCTTTACATATTTAAGTTTCTTATTGCAGAACCATAATATTAACTTCAAAGTTTTAATGCCATATATTACACATCTCATTGAAGTTGAGGATTATCCCATGAAACAAGGGACTTTACATGAGGCATATAAAGATCTCCAACTCTGTTGGTGCCTTTAAAATTGATCTCCTATTACACATCTCATTTTAGTTGAGGATTATCCCATGAAACAAGGGACTTTACATGAGGCATATAAAGATCTCCAACTCTGTTGGTGCCTTTAAAATTGATCTCCTATTACACATCTCATTGAAGTTGAGGATTATCCCATGAAACAAGGGACTTTACATGAGGCATATAAAGATCTCCAACTCTGTTGGTGCCTTTAAAATTGATCTCCTGCATTTCTTCAGCTTCAAAGTTGTAAATATGTAACAAAGGGTATCCTTCTTCTCTCTGGAAAAATATCTCCTTAGTCGACGCGCAAAGGGGAATAAATCCTGTGATATCATATAACCTGTTGATACTATACCTCTTTAACCAATTCCCATTCTTCAGTATCCATACCTGAATCAAATTCAATGTGGCATGAGTTATGAAGCTCAGGGACCCTCCAATTTCAACGAGTCGATCGTTTTTCGTGCTGCTGATTGGTAGAGGTACAGTTAGGAATTTCTCATCATGAAATCCCAAGGAGACAACATGGTTACAGCCATCAATCTGTGGAAGCCAATACAAAGCACCAATTGCTGAAACAGATCTATGAGTTGTGATCAATCCAAATTCTCCTGATTTAGGTCCATCCACTGCATGCCACGATCTTGTTGTGAGGTTCAGGATCTCACAGCGAATGTTTCTAGAGTTACCGCGGAATAAGTGTACTACTTTATAAGAACCTGTGAAATGGCTGAACATGAAGGCATAGCACTCCTGCGCGAAGCCAATCGTACCAAGAGGCATTCTAACGTGGTTCCGTGTACTTGGATTCATAACAACTAGACCTCCATTTTTCGCAATCTTGGCAAGGACCAAACCATTGCAGGCAGCCAAAATGCACTTTATGTTCCCCAAAGTATCTGGCATACAAACTTTATGGCCTTTGCCGCTATGGATATCCCAGAAATGGAAATAAAGTTCATTCTTCTTATCTGAAGGTAGTGGAAAAGGTGACCGTATGTTTTCCTTGTGAAAGGAAATTTCAGTAATTAGAACTCTCTCAGACTGACGAAAGTGATCTTCAATAAAACTCGTACTGTTGATCATGTTGAGAAGCGACTTGCATACACAACGCAGTTTGCAGAGAGTTTCAGCTGGAAGTAGAAGAAAAACCTCAAAAAGCAAGTCACCAGGAAGCCAATTCCCCTTGGTCTCTAAATTATCATCCATTTCTTCTTTTGTTTCCCTTGATGTTGTGCTTTGTATCAGCTGTTCACGCGCGATTGTTTCTACAGATGCAAATTTAAGCCATTTTTTACCTCTTGGCGACCAGTCTCTCATGACGTAAATCCACTGAAATCAGAAAGCTCTAAAAGAATTCTGCAACCAAAATGAAAACAAAAACATTTTTGAAGGAAAAAACTCCATGCCAGCATCTCGTTATTCCCTCAGTGTTTGTGAGGGAGGCACACAGGTTTATGAAAATTACAAGAAATAATTTCTAGCACAAAGTTTCAGCAATCAGACAGTTACTATACATAGAAAACTCCATCAGTTTTTCTGTACTTTCTATATGGAACTTAATGCTTGTCTCTACTCCCACCTTACCTAGCCTTGTTGGCCTTTTGGTCTTCCCAAAGACAAAATATTACCTCATCACTAGGTTCTTTATAAGAATAAACTGCAAAGAAAATCGTTAAAGAAAGAAATACAAGGACCATTAGCGGCTTTAAGCCGAAGAATGACTTCACAACGGTTTGCTAACTGAAAAGATGTGAAAATTACTTCATAAATGAAGAAGGATAAAATAATTTGTGTTTGTGATGAAATTGAACAAATGTAAAAAAACAAAACCAAAGGAAAAAGATGGTCTAAACTCTAAAGTCGGAGAATATAAACGGAAGCAAACTATATACTTGCACGCTTCAATTTAGAACACCAGTCAACCCGATTACAGAGTTCTAAACAGAATACAGCAAAATAATCATCATAAGCAGCACCTATGAATACTAAACTTGTGCCCTCAGCTAACACTAGTTAAAGGCGCTTTAAGATCTCCGTTAGTAACTAACATCTCTAGAAGAGAGCATATATTAGAGAAATGACATCGGGCTTAAAACACTAGTAGAATACATCTTGGATCAATAAGATAGGTTCTGAGGCATCAAGATTGCCAGTTTTTTATGACAAAGAATAAGGTAACTAGCAAGACTAGAATAGTAGTTTTTATTAAACCATTACAACCCCAAACACTCCCATTATATGATCAGTATTCTCCGAACAGGCAGCTAACTCACAAGGGGTAACCTTTTTACATTCCCAGGACATAGCATGTAACATAATCGCCCTCATTCTTTTTGGCATATCTATAGGTGGACTAAATATATTTCAGCTCAGCTTCAGTCAATCTTGGACAAGTTATAGCCAGCCTTTACATACCAAAGCATTATGAAACTAGAAGAGGTAAGAAAATAGATCACAACCCGTCTACGGAAACTAGGGAGGGATAGGCTAGGTAAAGGTATAAAGCGGGACAAAAGAAGGGAATAATAAGATAAATTACTAGGTCAAAATGAGAAAACTCCCTTTCTCTACTATCTTTCCTTTTTCACTTTTTAAACGAACAAAAAAATGAAAAGGGTTCTACTTGTCCCTTCATTTTCTTCCCTTCCTCGCCATCCAAATGAACTAGAACCCATAGCATTAAAAAAGTTCAACTTAGTTTCCTATGACGATAAGTTCACAGCTTGATACTCCAGGGCATACTGTGCAGAGTCATCTTAACGTTGAACCTTGAAGTAAGCAAGATGACAGATGAATTTAGTTACACCAGTGAAGTCTACTTGATGACCAGAGGTTTTCAATGGAAAATCATGTAACTGATTAAAAATGACACGGTTGAATAAAAAGACAGAAAAACAGACCTCTAAATGAATTCTCTCCAAAATACAGATATAAACATATTCCTTCATGGTATGCGGAGATCATGGTTTAATTAAACGCACAGAACATAGACTTGAAGGCTTTTTCCTAAAAGAATCACAGACATTTATTTTATCTTGACATCTTGTGCATTTTGTTGTGCTCCCTCATTGCATGACAGAATAGTTATTAATTAGTTAATTTATTTATTGATAACAAAAGGTAATATATTAATTAAAATCAGTATCAAGTAAGTACCATGAAGAAATTGTCACATTCTAAGTAGTTTCGGAGTGAAGCAAGTCCATCACAGAGTCCACAAGACAGACAAATTATGTTGGTTTTTTCTTTCTTGTAGCAAACTTACCCTACATGAGAAGCAACTTACATGGATCTTAGTTTAACGAATAGTGTCACTTACATCAAACATGCATTAAAATAGTCAGATACAAGGAGATAATACCACAAGAAGGAGGAAAGGGAAGAAACAAAGTTCCATACAGGCCATACAACATGCTATAGTCAAGCCCTTATCAGTAAGTCAGTAACACGCTAAAGTATATACATTACATCTAATTTTGCACAAATTTATACGTATTGTTGATCCATCTGTTAGAATTATTCAACAGAAGTCTAACAGACATGTTCTGTACTCCACATCATAGAGGAACACATTACACACCTTGTTTTCTTGAAGAAAGATATTCCCTTTCATCAATCGCAAAAATAAATAAATCTGTTATTACAGTCTTCGATAAAAATGTAATAACCAATTACAACTCTTATTTAGCTGAAATTAACAAATAACAGACTTGGTTGAAATGTGAAACCATGGCATACCAGTCACAGATGAAATATGAGCATCTTATACCATATTCATAATTGATTCAATATGACTCCTCGTGTAATATGAAATTGTATCCCATCTCTTGCTGAAGCAGATGAAGAATAGCTAAAATTTTATGTTCAAACGCTCGGATTTATAAGTTCACTGTCTCCTCCTCACCCATCTCCTCACCCCTATAGTATTTTTCCAGATTATACATAAATGCTCTTAGAATAATATTTTTCCATACATACACCGACTAGAAAATAAGTACAAATTTCCAAAAAAACATTTTACTTCATAACAAAACACCCTTAGCTCCTTCACAATATGAGAGTAGGATTCTCCTCTCTTTTTTTTAAGTAACAAAAGCCTAATTAAATACACAAATAGCTAACAAGACCTCACTGACATAGATTGTGATGGGATGGATAAGATTGCTCCACTCGACCAGGAGTCTCACATTCGGGCCAAATAAAATCATGTCATTGAAGCAATGAAGCCCTTCCCTATTAAAGGGACAGATTATTAGGTCAGTAGGTTCTGGATAACTCATATTTAATTAATTAAAAAAAAAGTAAAGAGGAGCCCTGATTAGTGATGTCAACATTAGCAAGGAAGTAAAAAACAGTACTACACATTCAAAGTAGAAAATAACACTCCATGGTTCCTCCCATATACTTCATCCGTCCTCATCTGTCCTAATTTATGGTTTCAATCACAAATTTCAGAAGGTCTACATTTTTCTTAAATTTTGTGCCAAAACAAATTATATTAAATCAAACAGTGTCACACAAATTGAGACAGATAAAATACAGTTTAATCCCATAAAAAAAACAATTATAAGAAAACATGCGTGATAATCACAATCTGATACACCAAACTGAAATAAAATTTAAGTTTATGGCTGACCTTAATGACGGAAGAGAGAATTTGTGTATTTTTTTTCTTTTTTCTCGACAGCAATGATCCTGAAGTCTGTTCTCTTAACTCTTAAGTCTTTGCTAGTGGTGGGCCGCTTGATTATTAATGATATAAATTTTCTTTTTTAGAAAAAATGAGCTTTAGAAGACTGAGTCTTTCTTTAATATAACAAAAGTGATAAGTGGGCCTCACCCACTTTTTGAAAAAAATCATGTTTATATATTCAGAAAAAAAAAAGTTATTATTGTAAGAATAAATTACAAGTATATTAAAAATATATAATATATTTTTAAAAAAGTATAAGAATAAATATGACCTTTTATCTTAAAAACCTTCATTGAATTCTAAGTTCTTTTGGATTTGCACCTTGTAGGGGCCATTCGAGGGAACAAGATCGAAGTCTGACTATTTCAAATTCACACAATATAGGAGTTTTATTTGAGGTGAAGCGCTTACTATTAATGATTTTTGCATACCCAAGACACAAACACAAAACCTCTTTGATTAAGAGAGGAGCAACCCATCTGCTACACCACATTTGTTGGTGGTATTCGCTTTGTTATTATTTCAACAGACACGTTGCATTTTAAAATGATTTCAACTATTGAATATTCCTCGAATTTATTCATTTAAATTGTCTTTGTGTAATTACATTTAATTCAACTATGTGAATTATTTCATGAAATAATATTATTTTTTAAAAGATAAATTATTCACTGTGCTAAAATTAAAGTAGAATGGAAAAAACACATACTAAAAATAAAATAAAAATTAATTGCACTCCTTAACTAAGAGAATTCTATTTAATGAGATAATAGTACGAGGATCTAGATTATTGTGTATCACTTAATAAAATGAGACTGAAAAATTATGAGTTCTCACCAATAATGGCGGATCATGGATTTGAGAAAAGGGGTTCATTATTTTAAAGAAGTGAATAGTAAATAATCTCATTAAATGGGTTTCTCTAAATATAAACTAAATTATCGTTTAAAATTAAATTAACAATATATTAAATAAAAATTAATAGAACAGTACGTTATTTTGAAGTGATCTTTTTTTTGTCAGAAGAAAAATTAAAAATTAAGGGCCCGTTTGGCAATGCGATATGGTATCATGATATGGTATTATGATATGGAATTATGAGATGAAATTGAAGTTTTGTTTGGACATGCAATATGGAATTTTTGTGTTGTATATTTTCTCATAAACATAAAAATCTCATAAGTTGTAAAACTATTAAAATAGCCCCAATTGTTTATTCAATCTTATCAAATAAATAAAAATTTATAAAATCGCATAATAAATTATTACAAAGCTATTGTTCTCCACTTAAGTAATTGTTTCATCTAACTTTAATTTGATAAAAAAAAATTGAACATAAATTGTAGTGTATTAGTCTTTAATATAATCCTTCCACACAGTACAAACATTTTCCTCACGTTGAACTTGCATTTCTCGATCATGTGACCGAGAAGACGAACCAACATTGTTTCTTTGAGCCATTTGTTGGTCAATATCATCCGCAACTATATTTTCATGCTCATAGACCATAAATATTTCATCATTTTAACAATCAGTTGATGTGAGTTAAAGTAACTATATGTTGGTGAGAATAATAAATTTTATGTCGGTGAGAATAATAAATTTTAAAAAGTGATGATGTGATTATAAATTTTATTTACATATGAAATAAATGGTTAGTAGATATAAATGTGGGGTTGTTTTAACAAAATATAAACTCGTGGATCAATTTTTGTATTAAAATATCTCAAATCATGATATGGAATTACCATATAATTCCATATCATGGTTTTTGGAGAATATGGAATCACATCTCATGATATGGAATCATGAGATGGAATCAGCGTAAAATCACATGTCCAAACGCTGATTCCATCTCACGATACCATATCGTGATATGATATCGCATGGCCAAATGCCTACTAAAATACTTGTGAAAATGACATTTAAAGGAAGAAAAGGCAAAAAAATAATAATCATAATCTAATTTTAAAAATAAACTAAAGATGATCGGGTAAAAAAATGTAATTTTAAGTAGACAAATATCTTGTTGTGGATGATATTTGTATTGCTACAAAAATTTGATTAGTGAAGAATGTTAGGAAGAAAAAAACTCAAGCATTAAAGCTATGGCCATTTTTTGAATTGTAACATATTTTTTAGTAAAAAAAATGCCTTAAGAAAGAAAAAGTTTGTCGTGTAACCAAACTCACCACCTTCAAGAAATTTTGCACCCCTTAATCGTTCAGCTAGGCTATTATATTGTGTTAAGGGGTTAAAACATAAAATATACTAGAAAATAATTTTTCTTATTTTATATATACACAATATAATTTTTTGATAAAGAGGATCCAAATGAACCTCCTGATCATTCCCCACTCACGACTCACCTATGATGAGTTAAACTTCTTATCTCTATAATTTGCATGAATTATTTTTGGACGACATGATAACACATACTATTTTATCAAGGATGACTTAAGGATGAAGCTAGTAAAATGTTTGATTTAGACTCTCAAAAGATTTTAATAGTGAATTTTATGATTTTAAATTTACTTAAAATAATATTTGAAGATTATAAAAAAATATAAAATTTAAATAAAAAAAGAAAGAAATAAAAGCTATTAACTTTTTATTAGAAATATTTTAAAACATTGAATTAAATAACTCAAATCTTCGTATCAATAAATAAACTTTTTATAACAATATCTAATATAATGTATTGTAAACGAATATGGACAACATCTTATTAACTAGAATTAGTCCATACTTTTATAAATATAATATTACTATTGTAATTGTCCGTGCTTCACACAATTATAAAAATAATTTTATAAATATAAAATTATAGATCTATTTGTACATTTCATTTAAAATATTTCACAATTTATTTTAATTTGTATATAAAGGAGTACAGTTTGAGAAATTAAATACTTTTTCTATCATAATTTTTAAATATTACGAATTATTGACTTATTGTCTTTAAATAATACTACACTAAAAAGAAATAATATGTAAAAATTAAAAAAATAGTTTTAAATCATTATTATTTTTATATTCAAGTGTATATATTTAAGGTATCTTTTTAAAATTTGATTTAAATCACTAATTTTATTGAGACGTGATTGTACTAGATTCTTCTTGAGTCACCTTATTCACCGATGTCAAACATATTAACTTCTCTTTGGGGACTTTTGGGGACACTAGAGCTATTTCGTTTTCCTTTTTGCTAAAATAAGGGTGTGACATTTTATATTTTTGATAATAGGTTGTGAAATCATTGAATGATGGTACTAAATCGGTTATAAAGTTAAATTTGAAATTCATTAAGTGTCATATTGATCTTGTGTTTGCAAAATTAAAAATTTATTGATCGAAAATATGTGCCGATTAATGTAAAGGTGTGGGGATATCACCACGACACCCAAACACCTTCATTGATATACGTATGTTGATATTTTATTTTAATCATATAAGTTGAAACAGAAAAAATATAGTTTAATTATATAAAAAAAAATTAAAAGAAACTATGCATGACAATCACAATTTCAAACACCAAAATAAAATAAAATTTAAGTTCATAGCCTACCTGATGCTTTCAGGATTTTTTGTGTTTTTTTTCTTCTTTCTCAATGGTGATGATCGGTGAAGTCTGCTCTCTTAAGTCTTTGCTAGTTGTGGGGTGCTTGATTATCAATTAAATGTAACTTTCTTTTTTTTTCTTTTTTCTTTTTTGAGAAAAAATGAGCTTAGAAGATTGAGTCTTTCTTTAATTAAACAGAAGTGATAAGCGGGCATCACCCAATTCCCCCTAAAAGACTCATATTTATATTTTGAGAAAAAAGTTATATTGACAGAGTAAATATATCCAAATATATATATATATATATAAAAAAAATGAAGGATAAATATATATTTTTTCTAAAAGTATAAGGATAAATATGATATTTCATCTTGAAAAATGCATTAAAATTCAACTTTTAGATTCGCATTGTGTAGGATCCCATTCGAGAGAACAATATTGGAGCCCGACTATTTCAAATTCGTGCCGTGTAGGGCCCCATTCGGGGGAACAACATTGGAGCCCAACTATTTCATATTTGCGCCCGTGTAGGACCCATTCGGGTAACTCCCACGAAGTCTTACAAATGAACACTCGAGCCTGTCAAGCCTACTTTCCTCGATCCAAGTCCGGAGCTCGACTATTTCAGATTCATGTCGTGTAGGAGCCTCATTCAAGGGAAAGTGTTTCCTATCAAGAATTTTTTCATACTTAAGGCTCGAATCTGAAATCTCCGATTAAGAAAGAAGCAATCTCATTTGCTGCACCACATCTATTGGTGATATTTGCTTTGTTATTATTTCAACAGACGCGTTGCATTGTTAAAGGATTTCAACTATTGAATATTCCTTGAATTTATTCATATACATTATCTTTGTGTAAATACATTTAATTCAACTATGTGAATTATTCATGAAAATAAAGTTATTTTTTTTTAAAAAAAATTTACTACATCTGTTCCTAATTACTTGTCCATTTTTGAATTGACACACATATTAAGAAAATAATTAATGATATAGCGAGTTTATCATTTTACCCCTATTAATTATGACGTGGA